CATGAGGGGTACCAGGAGGGGAGAATGGGTGACACAGTCCCTCCTGCGTTTTACCTGTCTCCATCCAGCCAGTAATTAGCGCTAATTAATGCCCTTGTGGCGCGCCTGAATGTCAACTCTCTCCCTGGCCAGAATATTGGCACTCGTGTTTACACAAGGATCAAAAATTAAAGGAAATAATTTCAAACGGGTATCAAACACATTTTCCGTTTGCATGCCATTTTGTGTTTTCAATGTAAATTCTGCAGTAAATGTTATCGGGAATATTCTGTTGGCCAGAATTAACAAATAGTAATTATGTGCTGTATGTCAGAAATGTAAAGGGTGCTTTAGCCTGACATGAGGGCGTTAGTTATTGTTTATGTAAAGGTTTTTATATTTGATACACAACCCACTGTTTCTCCTCATATTTCCCATGCCGGTTGATGAAACGCAATCCTGCCCTGAACTGTCCAAATTGCATTGTTTCGTTCAGCCACACATCTAGTTCAATGTCCCGATTTTCAGAATGATTGAATAATTTCCCGTCCAACTTTACATGAAATGTCTCTAAATGAGATCCTCATTACACCACTTCAATACTGATCAATGTATGCAATTATGCTGCCATATAGGCATCAAGAGTGTGCTGTTAGGACATTTTTACCGTTTGGGACGTAAATAATGCTATACAGCTATAATAACTCAGCGCTTATTTTCGCTCCGGTCTTGTTAGTATAACAAGTATTGACAAAGTAAGCGTACCAACACCCTTATTGCCACTGTCATGCTATACTGAAGGTCTATTATGCACTGAGGATTAAATGTGTTAAAAATCAGACACTAATTATGTGAATCTCATTAAATAGCAACTTTAAGGTTACGTTAGCACTCCGGCCACCCTAGCCACTCTGGCTTCTAGTGGAAGAGATGGAATAGGAAAGTCAACCCCATTAGTATCCCTGGTCAGAGTTGCTCATGTATGAAATCACCTTATAGATAGAAGGTTTTCTTTATAATCACAAAGAAAACCGTCTGAAAAAGCTTTTAAGTTTGTCAAAACATTAAATGAATCACCCCCCACCCTCTCCCCTCCCCTCCCCTCCCCTAAGTTGACGCTAAGCCCCGAAATCATCTCAAGATAACCTCAAGATAATCTCCCCTCCTCCCAGTAATTTCTGGCCAGCAACTGAGGCCGAGAGCATAATTAGGCCGCTGAGGAACCCTTGAGGTAGGCGAGGCAGGGAGTGTACAGTGTACCAGCTCTGGCACAGTACATTGTAACAGTTCCAGCCATTTGCGAGCAGGAAGGTAACAGTAAGGTACAGTAGCTAAGCTGAAAGGAAATTGTTCAAAGGAATGGTACGATAACTATCAAAGGAAAGCGCCAAACCATTACGACAATATAGCACTTGGAAGAGATCAGAATAAGGATTTGGGATAAGATGAGGGGGAAGGATTGGTGCCCAATCGCTTGGATGGTCCGGGATTGAACGCCGACCTGCAAGAAGAGACACTATCGTCCAGTCACAGGAAAGCGGTTCTTAAAGTATATTAGTTCGTGCTCGCTTCAAGAAGATACTTCGTTCAGCCCTGACATTGCTTCCAACGGCTCAAATTACCTGCGGAAGCCTCCGTGATTTCTGTCCTAGGGAGGAGTGACGGTGACGGGTGGTGTGAAAGTGACGGATGAGGAGGGAAGGTGACAGAGAGGTGTGAAAGTGATGGAAAGGAAGAGCTGTTGTGTCCGGAATCTGCATGAGGGAATGTGTTAAAACTCTTTTTATTAGTTATTTTATATAAAAAGACTTAATTTTAGATATTTTATTTTCGACAGGAAAAAAAGTATATTCGTGGAATATTTCATGACCAATTTAAGACATTTATAGAGTTGTTACTGCGAGGTGGTGGCCACCTGATCGCTTGGTAGTAATTCACCGGCAAACTCGAGTGAAAAGCATGTTTGTTTACAAGTGTTTTCATGTAGTGGAAATTTATGCAAGATAGGCACATATCACATCAACCGTTAAGTATATTGTGGCATACCCGCTAGTGATTTTAATGCTGCTGATATAACTGTGGCAATATATCATAGTGAGGCCTTGACACATGGCAAGCGAAACTGTGTGGGCAGCGGAGATCCTCACACTTGTCATGCCATGACGGGTCCCTCACTTCGTGTACCCGAGTGACCGACGCGTTGTTGACAACGTGTCCGGCCACCAGCCATGACAATGGGTCGTGAGGCTCCGCCACCGGGTTCTGTACGGTGGTAATTGGCAGGCAGTCATAACGTGGCGACGTTACACTCTCGACAATGCGGGGAAATCAACTGATGGCCGCTCATTGTACACCGACAACTGTCAGTAGCAAAAAATTGTCGCCCACGCCCAGTTATCTGTTGTGTATTTGTTAGTGGAGAATAATTGTATTTGTGTGGGTTTGTAAAGTGTTTCAAGTTGCGCTTTATTATTGTTCAAACGTTCAAATTAATATTTGTGAAAACTTGGAAGCAGAGAGAGCTTTTGGTCAGTCTAAATGTCAAAAGGAATGTTTTACTATGCATACAGGCATACCTTTTGGGCCATACCTCAGCGCCTCTCAACTGCCCAGCCTTCAGTTCGTCTTCCTTGGCCATCACCACCACCCACTTGGGCTGGACGGTAGAACAACGGTCTCGAATCATGCAGGACTGCGTTCAATCCCCCACGGTCCGAGTGGTTGGGCACAATTCCTTCCCTCCGTCCCATCCCAAAGCCTTATCCTGATCTTATCCTAGTCCTATGTAGCCTAATTATTTAGCGCTTTCTTCTGATAGTTCCCCCCCTCCCCTGTCCATTCTTCAGGTGTCTCTTAGACCAGCACCGCTGTACATGTGAGCACACTCGCCTCTGCTCTCCAGGATATAAAAATAATAAACCATTACAGACATTCCGAGGATGCAGCCCCACAGCAACCCGAATGTACTAAATTATATATATATATATATATATATATATATATATATATATATATATATATATATATATATTTATTTATTACAATTTACACAAATACAAAGCAAGTAATTTAGTGAATATATATATATGTTTGTCCCCTCAATACGGTCGTTTTCTATTATATTGTATAGAGAAAATGTGCTTTAGTCATGATGTGTATGACTAAAATATATTCCCTGGAAACACAAACCGAAACTGTCTCTATTTTCCGCTTGTTACAACTTGTAATAAAGTTGTTACATCTTAGTTTATTCGTGTTTATGACGTATTAGAACGTTGTTACAACATGATATATTGGTTGTTATAGCTGCTTAGGAGGTGTTAAAACTCGCTCGAACGTTGTACCAACGTCATAGTTTCGGTGTGTGTTTGGCGGGAATTGTTTCCAGTTCGTTGAGAATTACAGTACTTGTAACAGCAATAAATATTGTATCCATAATTTAGCAGGAAAATAAGAAGAGAGTTAACACTCACAACCAAATAGGAAATAACAGTACACCTGATATATCCAAGTAATAACGGTATGTTGGATTTTAGCTAATCATGACACAGATAGTAAAAGTCGGCAAGTCGATCTCATAATGATTAAATTATTGCAACCATACATGTTATCATCCTAGCATACGAAATAATAATTTTTGCATGGTGAGAATAGCAAACAGTTAAAGCCTATCTTCCGAAATAAATAAATAAATATATATATATATATATATATATATATATATATATATATATATATATATATATATATATATATATATATATATATATATATATATATATATTTGTGTGTGTGTGTGAGGGTTACCACCTCTGGTGCAATTGTAGGGACCCATAGCCTCGGAGAAGAAAATAAAGAGTATTCGAAGAAGACCTTGTGGATTCTCACTGAACACTTTAATATTTTCTTCTGCTACCACCCCTATTCGTTTTGAATATACTGTATACATATATATTTGTTAAATTTTAAACTTTGTTACAAAAAAGGAGTTACATATAGGGTACAAAGATGATTATCATAAGTTGTCGAGTTACTCCAACTTCTCAGTGACAGGCAGGAACCCTGAATGCAGTGTGCATTTTCCCCTTTGTATCGCTACGCTGATGCGCTGGAAAAGAAAGGAATGTTTAGGTCCCCTCCAATACAGTTTCTATGTTTTTTTTCTCCTACCACTCCCTTGTGTGTTTTGGTATGCTTTATTAGATATTTAAAGGTTACAAGATGTACATTAGTTGATATATTGAGTGCTTAAAAGTTATGGATCTCTTGGAGCTCCTAAGCTTCCGGACAGGATCTGAGGATGCAGCAGGCATTTTCACTCTGGGTCGCCACACTGAGGCGCTGAAACAAGAAACTTTCAGTCCTTGGGTCTCTGGTGATGTCAATGAGCCTGGAACCCAATTCTTTGAGAAATCCCAAGGCACTCCTACCCCAGGGGCCATGCGATCCAGACGCTATGGGAACAAAGGTGCATTGACCTTCCAATCGCTTGTATTTGATTGATTTTGCTATTTCTCTCTCTCTCTCTCTCTCTCTATATATATATATATATATATATATATATATATATATATATATATTATATATATATATATATATAAATAATGTTTTGCATTATTGAAACAACTACTTTTGCCATGGCCTTTGGAAATATGGTAGGTGTGAAATAACCAAGAAATATGCTTTACTAAGAAGATGAAACTTAAGATTCAATTTGCCTGATCTTGGCGCCTCCAGCATCAGTGGCAGGGAGAGCGCCTGTGTTATTGAATTTTGTATGGTTGGCAGCCTTGACGCGCGTGCCCACACTGGATCTAAACAAAGCATTCTCTTAGGATATAATGTGAAACAGGTTATTTAAATAGGGGCAACCTATCCAAGGAGAAATAGTACATAAATGGCGTTTTGAGGTTTACAGTTGCTGTTAGTGTTCTAAGTGTTGTATCACTCAGAGAGAATGTGGTTGTCTGTGTTGTAATGTAGTAAGCTTTATTTCTTAAATGAACGAATGTTACCCTATGTTTTCAGTATGAGCCAAGATGGCAGGAGCGGAGGATGAACCGATGCACCTCTATGAGGTGTTTCAGAACTGTTTCAATAAGATCGCGAATAAGCATACCGGTGAGTACTGTGTTTTTTGAAGCTCGAATGTATGTAGATTCAATGTTGGTGGTTTTCTTGGAGCCCATTGCTCATATAACGAACTAGTAGGGCGAAATAGAGAGCCTCTTGGACTGTTTGGGTGGCTGCCATGATGGGCCAGGATAACCATTGGCCCCGTCCGTGGCACTGGCACTCCCACCATCACACATGTACTCTTCTATTCCATGCATTCTTGTCGACCAGTGCTGTCCGGGTGGCATTGTTAACATAAACGTAGGATAACATTATGGGCGTGAGAAGTATGGCATTGTTGACGTCGTGGCTGTCAAACTGTCAGATGAAGCAGGCGACACTCATAGCGTTTTTATATGTTATTAAAGCCTGTCACTTTTTCAAAGAAAAATTAGTAGTTTCCCAGCGACTGTTACCCATCTATTGAGCGTATGGTGCTGGCCAAGTCCTAGAAGAGGGGACAAGAAAGCCTTAATCTTGGATTCTGGCAAAGAGTTTACCTCTCTTTTGAGCCATACAGGTGTACCAACCTTGGGTGTATTTATTTATTTATTTATTGTATAATATATAATAATTTGTATGCAAAGTAAGTGTTTATAATATATACCATTACAATTTGTCATGTAATGGTATATATGATCACATTTTACATAGTGAGTTTATTCAAAATTGCTGTACAGTACATGTAGTGTATTCAAAAATTACCCCATGAATGTACAGTTGTGAATTTTGAGTTATGACCTAGACATACTTTATATAGTAACTTGGCCTTTACCTGTCTGATACCTTATGGTTAATTTTGCAGGAAATTAATGTATTGATAATTAGTTTACTGCCGTTCTTGCATCTAGTAAATTTGTTTAGGCTTTGACGAAACATGTTAGTTATTACCCCAGAACATGCAATAGAGAATTTTTGGAGAAGCAAAAATTGCATTTAATTAGATATTTGATTTGCTAGTGTGACCGGATAGCTATTGATGCACAAGTATTTTATTATGTAATCATTACAAAAGTATGTAAGTGAATACTGAATGCAAGCAATAAGCATATTAATAACTGAAAGTGAATATTCTGGGGCATATATACAGTATGTATACTAATCTAGGTAACGTATATCTAAATAGTATCTAACTTACAAGGAAGTGTTTACCCGATAATGCATAGATGATTTGAAAAAACATTGTGCGAGTTACTTCTTGTGTATATATATATATATATATATATATTTTGCAGTTTTCAAGGTAATGAAGGTTAGAAGTCATAACCGTTATGGTAGCAATGTTCAGATAAAATATGTGGTTTGATGATATGTTTTCGTGGACATTTTGTAGATGATAATGTATGTAACTGGAAGTTGGAAATACATATCTCTTGTTTGAATGGTGTAAGGTCACATCTGCTATCAGGACTGCATAGATTTAATCATTACTAAATACATGGCTGTAACTGTAAACCTCTCCTCTATGTCACTTAAGTACGTCTTCCCTTCCAGTTGCACCAAAACCAATAATAGTCATAATAATTCCTAAGAAGTGATTTAAAAGTTGAAAGGCAGGAATAGGTAAGATAAACAAAATTCCCCTTTCCATAATGTTGGTGTGATGCATCCATAAATTCAGGCACTTAAGCCAATTTTGTCATCACTGCTCAGCTTCTTTGAAGAGTGCATTTGTATGTATGCCTAGACACTATGCTCAGTATGACACGATTTATTGTACAGAATAATATAAACATAATCACTATGAAAGGGGTTAGTGTTTACCGAACAACAAATAATTGTTCACGGCTGAAGATGAGTTTTACCAAATGCCTAAAATATTTTAATTATGTCATGTAATGCTCATTTAAACGTATACCTCTCCAAACAGAAGTTTGGATCTGGTAGCTGCTCTTGTCTTGTTGCTAGGAAAAAACTTCATTTAGTAGCTCTAAATCAGTCAACAATCGTTTGTCTATGACTCGATTACCATTATTAATGCTTGTAATAGTAAATACGAGAGGAGCGTTATTATTTTTTAGCAGAAATTAAATTAAAAAAACAAGAATACCATTTACATTGGGAATACAGTACTTACAGTCTCTAATTGAGTTACTTGGGCCACATTTTGTTCCCGTATTAAAAAATGAAGACTAAATTTGTTTTCCCCCTCAATGTAAAATACATGTCTGAGCAAAAGGGTTATACTGTCTATGCTCATAATCTGGATCATATGGGACCCTCCCTCTTTTTAGTTAGCCAGTTTTTATTGGGAATTTCTAAAAATTAAGTTGTAAATATTTGTACGAACAAAATTTGTATTTCCACATGCAATGAATTTACACGATAGAAGTTCTTCATATGCATTTCATACAAAACTTAAATCATTTATTGAGAGTAATAAATTTTAACTTGTTGGAGCTCGTCACCTTGTTCGATGAAAGGTATCAATATTGTTCAGTTACCTAACATAACATTGAAACATTAAAATTACTGTACATGAGCTAATATTTATATGTCTCATATATTTATGCTTACATTTTCTTGTGTCAGAGATGGCATACCATCTCTTATACAAGTAAGTATAAGTATGTAGTACTAGTAATATACTTCCGACACTCACAAAGGAGTGGCCATTTTCACAAAATTCAGTCACTTGTAGCTTATCTTTAATGGATAGCATAACTTGCATTCTCTTAACACTTACACATTGTCATTGCCACGTAGCAAAAAATTATCTAATTTTCTATTAAAGCAGTAAAATTAGGAGAGAAAGTCTTTAATGGAACAGTACTGTATCGAACCATATAAGGGGAAGAACTCATGGGTGGGTTGCTTGACTAGGTTAGGACGAGTCCACTTGGTACTCAATACATAGGCCACCAGATGGAAAAAAAGGACCTTATTGTAGCAGGGGAAACACACTGTACAGCCTTTACCTTGAAGTTACCTTGATGATTTTGGGGCTTAGTGTCCCCGTGGCCTTGATTGTTGACCAGGCCTCCAGTACATGCCATTTTTAACAGTTATAATTATTATTTGTTATATTATATTTTTTTATTTTATTAATGCATTATTTTAATTGAATTCATAGTTAATGAATCATTGTGTCGGGGGGGACAGGAAGCCAGAGTGTATTCATACACGTTTGTCTTTTATCACGGTCCCATTCCCCAGAGGCCGAATTACTGACCTCACCCAGGATGCAACCCCATAACAAGCTGACTAACTTTTGAGTACCTACTCACTGCTAGGTAGACAGAGGCATTACGTGAAAGGAAATATGCCCAACCATTTGTGTCCCGCCCGGGATTCGAACCTAGAATTCTTCATTGTGCATCGAGAATGAACCTGACTGTACTCCCGGGACTACCGGGAACCTATGCTAATATGTATTAGTATAGGTTGCTACATTTCAAATGATTACCCGATGACAAAATTGAGTGGCCCAAAGTTCAATTCAACTTAAACAGCAAAGCACTTGAACTCAAATTTGTTTGGGTGTCTCATTCTGTAAATCTCATTAACTCGAACCTCCATTCGGATTAAAAGGTCAAAAATAGGTTCCAAACTCGAAGGTAAATTTATCCTGATTGCTCGAAGATTTGGGGTACCAGAAAGTGACTTACCAAGATCTTACAGTACAGTATTTCTTATCCTGAATATTTTTGTATTACTTATAAAGAATAACATTAGTTCATATATATTACGATATTGATTAAGTAGAGTACAGTATGCAATACATACTTTTCAGCTTGTGTAAGTTTTTAACAAGCTTCATATTGGTACCAAAGAAAATGTGATTTTTTCAGTAGTCATAGCATATTTGAGCTTCAGTGTCATTTATTGATAGTGAGTGTATCACTTTATAATCTGAGGGATCTTTGATGCCCACCACAAAAAAAAAAAAAATAAATAAAATAATGTAGTGCATGCAGGGCTGTGAAAACAAATAATACTTGGGAATAATGAGGGATGGAGTTTTTCATGAGCTGCCACCACCTATAGAATGTATAATAATTGTTAAATTATCAGAAATAGCTACTGCCCTTAAAACTCTCATTTGCATGATGCATGACTTTTAAGTTTTTACCCATGCAGCATTTACATTATTAAGAATGCTGTATATTGCACTATCCATTTTAATGAGTTTCAGGCATTGTTTCACACTTCAATAATTGTCAGCAGTAAGATAAATGTTAAAAATACTAATTTTATATTTTAACTTTTGCATGCCATAAAGTCAAATCAAATCAAACGATTTGTTAATACATAGTTGTACTTTTATAATTGGGTAAGTTTACATAAAAATTACAGTACATTAATCATAAAAGGGTCACAATAACATCATAACATATAGACATGATTACAGTATTATCAGAATCAAAAATGTTATCCATAACTTGTATTACAATAATGACTGGACTAAATAGGTGTACAACAATCTAAATTTAACTTACATTTTTGGGATAAAGTCTTTAGGATAAACGGTTTTTGGGATAAACCTTTAGCTCACAATTTGAAAGGTGATATAAATTGGAAAAATAGTTTGGTTTACCAAAATGTACTTGTGCATTTTTCAACCCACCCTCCAAACATGATAAATCTATAGCAACTATGGATGGAATATTGTGTTCTTTCCTGGGCCATCTGCAAAATTAATAATATAAAATGTGGATTTTTTTGTGTGTGTATTCTTCTATCCATAGTAACTATAGATATAGTATTTTAATTTTGTAAAGACAAATTAATATTTTTTGTGTCTGCAAATACTGGTCATTGGTGTCACTACCTCTTGTTCAGGTATGAATAATTGCTAAAAACCAATAAATTTCATGTGACAAAATTTTTTAACTAAATGAATAGAAGTATTGCTTGGTGTACTTGTATGGCAATTTATCATAACTGGAAAAATACAATTTTACAATTTTCATATTTCTATACAAGTGAATGAGAGGGACTGGAACTCATGATGATTGTGGGATATACATCCAGATTGACCTTATCTTGCATATACTGCATGTCAG